TATTCACAAAAGCGCGCAAGCCGTAACGAGGAAGGTATGTATGCATAGACAGACGACGAGTGCGTATTGTTGGCGAAGTATAAGAAAATTGAATTTGTTACATTTGTTGACTAAAATCTGCTGTGGCGTCGACTAAATGCTTTTTTTTATATTTTTACTTGTCTTTGTTGTGCTTGCTGTTTGTTGTTGTTGTTGTGCTAACTAGTCTCGTGAGTGCGGCTATTTTTAGTGTCGAATAACAGTTGTGATAATAACAATCAAGAGACAATAATAAAAACTACAACTGCAGTGAAGTGCAGCTGTGTCAAAGGGAGGGAAGGCTGTGGTGGCGGGCGCATAATACTGGAATCGTGTAAAGTGAGTGGGCTGCGTTGCGGCGGCTCAGATTTTTTTCGTACACGCAACAACGAAAAGTTATTTAAACAAATGGGAACAGAAATACATAGACACCACTTATGCATACATACATATGTACATTAAGGTAGGACACAAAATTTTTTGTTTTCCGAGTTAGGGTTAGGGGCACCTTCCAAAATTTTTATTCTTGCCGAAGAGCAAGACTTTTTTCTAAGTTTAAATTTGGAGAATTTCAAGGTTATTTATCACCCTGCATTGGCTACAACAGAAAACTGAAAGAAAATTGGTATTTATATTACAAATACCAAAAAAAAAAAACCAAGGGGGTGACCCGATGTCTACGATGATATTTTTTCCTCTTAAAAAACTTTGATGACTCTAATGTACACACATATGTACATACGTATATGCGATCATAATGCAAACATACATATGTACATACAATGTATATGGCTATTAATAAATAACATTAGTTTCATTGTGCATGTTTTCTGAGGCGAGTCGGACTCCTATGAGCTTTTAAAGTATATATGGGGCGTTCCATACCAAAACGGACGGGGTTCACACTTCATGTGTTTGATTTGTTTCAATTTTTAGGGTTGATGCATAGACATAAATAATAAATAAATATGAAATTTGAGCTTGATTAATACATTTTCGAAAACTCAACAGCACAAAAACAAAAACAAATCGATTTAATAGTTTTCGAAATATCTCGAGAACGGGGATTGGAAAAAATTTGAAAAAAATTACACCTACACACATAAAAATTCTCTATGAAAAGAAATATTAAAAAAATTGTTTTTCTTGAAAAATTTTTCACATACAACTTTTTTGATAAAAAAAATTAGTTTTTGAAAATATGCTATCTCAAAAAAAATTGAAAAAAATCATAACGGTAGCTCTGAGTATTGCGCAATATTTAAGTGTAGTATTATGGGGTGCACTTTGCAATAATTTGAGTTATGATTTTTTTTTTTTTACACCGAAGTTGAGTAAAATGAGTACATTACAAATTTATGCTTACAGCTTTTTGTACTTTTTTCTTACGGAAGAAAATGCGCAAAACCGATTTCAAAGAAAATAAAACAGAAATTAACGTCAGTTTTGCAATCGCTTAAAACTTGCACTTTATTATACTAAAATTTAATATTTTAATACAAAACTGCATACTCAAAAAAATTCTAAAAGAACTCATAACTCAAATTATTGTAGAGTGCACCCATAATACTACACTTAAATATTGCGCTATACTCAGACCTACCACTGAATTTTTTTTTATTTTTTGTTGAGATGGCACGTTTTCAAAAACTAATTTTTTTTTATCAAAAAAGTTGTATGTGAAGTGGGAAAAATTTTTCAAGAAAAACATTTAAAAAATCTTCCTTTCCTAAGGGAATATTGAAGTGTGTATGTGTGGTTTTTCTCAAATCTTTTCCTCGGCCTATTAAATCGATTTGTTTTTGTTTTTGTGCTGTAAAGTTTTTAAAAATGTATTAATCAAGCTCAAATTTCATATTTATTTATTATTTATGTTTAAGCATCAACACTAAAAATTTTAAACAAATCAAACACATGAAGTGAGAACCCCGTCGGTTTGGTCTGGAACGCCTCATATACAGGGTGGTGGTTATAGTGTTTTGTTTTTAATTATATGCTATTTTGACAGTGACAGCTCTTTCCCAGAAAGTCTTTCTCAGAAAGCCAGTGTCATATCTCCGCGGAACGAAACGAATTGCTTTACGCTTGAAAAAGGTTAGGAAATAAAGCCAACTTATTTCTAAACGATTTTGTTCGAAAAGTCATCTTTTTTACGAAGCGTATTTCGGCGGCTGTGTTAATTAGAAAAATAGGTATCTGGAGAACGTAAACCTCGCACGTGATCGTCGATGTAAATTATCTGAGAGTTACAGTTTGGTGCGGATTTATGAGCGGTGGCATTATTGGCAGTGATCGGACTTTAAAAAAATTCTGTGTGGTAGAATCTGGAAAAAAATGTGGTAGATTTAAAAAAAAAGTGGTAGATCTCTGGGTTCGGATCAAACTTTGTACAAAAATTAAAAAAAATCTGCAAGGTTTCACCTAAATTGCAAAATTTTTAATTGACTCTAAAAAAAAATTAATTTTAGTATAATAAGCAAGGAGTTGCTAAAAATTGCGTTGAATTTTGGCAATTTTTTTCCTTGACAGTGTAAAGCAGTTCCTTCCTTCCATATCAAGATATTTTTCGAACATATTATAAGAAA